CTCTGCTCCACTCCACTTCACTCTGCTCCACTCCACTCCACTCTGCTCCACTCCACTCCACTCCACTCCACTCCACTCCACTCCACTTCACTCTGCTCTAATCTAATCTACTCTACACTATTCTACTCTACTGTACTCTGCTCTCCTCTCCTCTGCTCTGCTCTGCTCTGCTCTGCTCTGCTCTGCTCTGCTCTCCTCTACTCTCTCCTCTACTCTCCTCTACTCTCCTCTACTCTCCTCTACTCTACTTGCACCCTCCCCACTTGCACTCCCTCCCTAGTTGCACACTTGCTCCTTCTCTCCTTTGCTCCTCTTTCTCTGCTCTCATGCTCCACTACCACATCTATCACTCCTTCCACTATCCTCGATCACACATTCCATTTCCCTTGCCCACTCACTCCTCTCCACTCTCTCGCCCCTAGCTCAGATGCTAACTAACTCATGTCACTTACTCACTCATTTCACTTGCACACCTACTCACCTACTGTCATACATTTACTAAAAATTTGTTATCACAAAAACAATTTGAAACATCTGATGTACTACCTATTGTTTTTTTGTTTTTTGCAAAGATTCTTCCTTTCAGTAAAGGAAACGGTTATTCTATTCAACTTGGATTATACTTGAAATGTAGTATCTTGTGATTCCTTTCTTTTGTTTTATGTTCTTTGGTTAGAGAATATTAGCTGTTGGTTGAAAGATCATTTTTAACCATGTTTCAGAATGGCAAATGCATATTGAAATGCAAATCCCAAAATTCCTGGTAGATTTCCTTAAAAAATGTTAAAACTTATTAAAATGGATAGATTTTTTTCAAATGTTATCATATTCTTTTTAAAAAGTCCATTTCAATAACTTGTGATATATGTATATGTTAGATTCAGTTTCATTTAGATGTCGATATTAAAATAGTCATTTGGTAGGTACAAAAAATTTTCCATCTGCAAGCTGCTGTCATACAGAGTCAAGGAAATATAGAACACAACATATATTTCATTTATTTATTAATTTTTTAACACATCTGAGACTCACGTTTAGCTATAGTTAAGACTTATTTAGCCATGCTTGTCATATATTATGACTGTAATGATAACTTGCAGCACTAAATTAAATTTTGAAAACATTTTGTAATTTTTACTTGCATGGTTTGAATGGAACAATGTGGCCAAATATATTGTTTTAAGCTCTTGAACAATTTTGACCCAGTGATATAGATGTACTATGTGACCGAAAGTATCTGGACACATGACTGAAAAAGACTTACCATTTCATGGCGCCCTCCATCGGAAATGCTGGAATGCAATAGCTTTCACTCTCGCAGGCATACCTTCAATCAGGTGCTGGACGGTTTCTTGGGGAATGGCTGCACATTCTTCAATGAGTGCTAAGGAGACATATCGATGTAGGTTGGTGAGGCCTGGCACGAAGTTGATGTTCCAAAACATTCCAAAGATGTTCGATAGGATTCAAGTCATTGAGTGTCACGTCACTCTGTGAGGGCCAGTCCATTACAGGGATATTATTGGCTTGTAAACACTCCACCACATGCCATGCAGTATGAACAGGTGCTCGATTGTGTTAAAAGATGCAATCGCCATCCCCGAATTGCTCTTCAACAGTGGGGTGCAAGATGGTGTGTAAGAGGGGTGCAAGCCCCCACCATGAAAAACTTGACCACACCACAACACAATTTTGGACTTGACTAGATACATTTAATCATATAGTGTACATGTAATTTAAAATTGTTAGATACATCTTTGATTTCATAAAACTTCTATGAACCAGTTGAATTATAGAATGAAGACGATTGAAAATTATTTAGATTTATATTTGTATTTTAAAACATTTATATCTTCCTAGCACAAATGCTTAAAAGTTATATGAATTGTTATAAAACTACAATACAAGTAAAATAAGTATTAGAATGTAACTGGAAGATAGTAAAATCGAATTGTGTGTGCGTGTTTTTCTTTCTCTCTTTTTCCTCCCTCTCCCCATTCTCT